AGAAAATCTCAGAGAGCTAGAGAGATGACAACGTAAATAAAAAAAAAAAAAAAAAAAAAAAAAAATCAGACAAACTCCTGACTCTAAAACAAAGTGCTACCCTGAAAAGGGATACCAAGTACTTCCAAGAGTAGGATGGCTGAGCTGTTCAGGCCATCTACCTGCTTCTGTTTCAGCCATCTACCTGCTTCTGTTTCATTTACAGTCTCCACCAGCTCACAACCACCCTGATCGCCCAATGTGTAGCCAGCCTGTTAACTGACTTATCATACTGATGTCATCAGGGGAAGGTCATAAAAGAGTTGGGGAGTTCAGCTGATGCCACGAGAACCTCATTCATTTCACAAATATAAAGTAGTCCTCTCCTCAGGAGTCTTTTACTTGCATTATAGGATCAATCACAACCTGCAATCATCTTGCTTACTGGTACTTATTTTTTATTATTTATTGTCATCGATTGAATTGTGTCCCCCCAAAATATGTGCTATAAACCCTAACCCCTGTAGTGGTTATAATCCTATTTGGGAATGAGTTTTCTTTGTTATTTTAATGAGACAGTATTAGTATTAAAAAAAAAAAAAAAACCCAAACCTTATGCCTCAAGTCGATTCCGACTCATAGTGACCCTGTAGGACAGCACAGAACTAGGGTTTCCAAGAAGCAGCTGGTGGATTCAAACTGCCAACCTTTTGGTTAGCAGCCAAACACTTAAACCACCGTGCCACCAGGGTTCCAGTATTAGTATAGGTGCATGTTAAATCAATCTCTTTTGAGATATAAAAGAGATTAAACAAGCAAGCTAGCAAATAGAGATGGGGGGAGACAGATGCCAAGCCACATGAAGACTGCTCAGGAGCAGAAGCTCAAAAGAGACAAGGATCTTCCTCCAGAGCTGACAGAGAAAGTCTTCTTCTAGAGGCGGCACCCTGAATTAGGTCTTCTAGCCAACTCTGAGAAAATAAATTTGTTTGTTAAAGCCACCCACCTGTGCTATTTCTGTTATAGCAGCACTAGATAACTAAGAGAGAATTTGGTACCAAGAAATGAGGGCACTGCTCTAACAAATACCTAAAATGTGGAAGTGGTTTTGGAATTGGGTGGAGGCTAGAAGAGTTTTAAGGTGCCTAATAATAAAAACCTACATTGCCTTGAAGAGACTGTTGATAGAATTATGGACGTCAAAGGCAATTCTGGTGAGGACTCAAAAGGAAGTGAGGAGAGCCATAGAAAGTTTCTATCATCTTAGTGAATACACGGTGCCACCAACAGAATGTGCTAGACATGTAGACATTCAATGTGCTTCTGGCGAGGATTTAAAAGGAAATGATGAACACAGAGGAAGGGTGATGCTTCTTATGCCATGGCAAAGAATTTATCTGAATTATGTTCAAATATCTGGTGGAAGGAAGAACTTGTAAGTGATGAACTTGGATATCTGGCTGAGGAGATTTCTAAGCAAGATCTTAAAGGGGCTGCGTGGTTTCTCCTTGCCACTTATAGTAAAATGTGAGAGGAAAGAGATGGACTTAAAAATGAACTGTGTAAAATGAAATAAAACTTAAAAAGATCTGGAAAATTCTGTTGTACAAACTAAAGACATGTGTTCTACAATTTTCACCAAGGACATGGCTACACAATCTGTTGTTAAAGATATTAAGCCTGTGACCGATGGATCTAACCAATTACCACAGCAGAAAATCCATGAGTTTAGACTGAAGGAGACAGAGATAGGATGAAAGGAAGGAAAGCTGTTTGCCTCTTGGAATTCTACAGGCAGGAAATAGACCAAAGGAACTACATCTGTTGTCCTCCAAGAAAAGAAAAGGACCATCTCTGGAGCAGCTTGAAAATCAGCAGAACTGTTGGAAGGAGCATGGGAAGCAGGGATGCCTTAGTGTCAATGGGTGGAATCACGGCCTCCTAGGTTTCAAAGAGTCAGATCTCCACCAACTCGGTTCTGGAGCATGGGGCTGCCATGCCCAAAGGCCAAGAGAATGGGGCCACCACCCAAAGCTGAGGGGGCGGGGCTGCCATCCCAAGGGGCAGGAGAACATAGCTTGCCAGGGCTGAAGGTGTGAGGTTGTCACTCAGATGGGCTAGAAGAACAGGGCTACCCAAAGTGAAGGGAGCAGAGTTGCCATCCCAGTGGGCTTGGAAGGCGGGAATGAAGCTCAGAGTCCAGGGGCCTCCATTCAGAATCTAGAGGGCATGGCCACCACCCAGAGTCCAGAGGGTGGGGCCATTGCCCAGATGGTCCCAGAGAACAAAGGATTATTTTCAAGCCTTGAGAGTAAAGGTTAGTTCTGCTGGGTTTTGGACTTGCTTGGTGCCCATTATCCCTTCTTTCCACCCAATTTCTCCCATTTTTAATGGAAATGTCTACCTTGTGCCTGTTCCACCATTGTACTTTGGAAAGAGATAACTTGTATTCTAGATTTCACAGGTTCACAGATGAAGAGGAATTTTGCCCCAGGATGGAATACATCTGACGCCTCACCCGTATTTTAGATGATTCACAAAATGAGATTTTGGACTGGGAATTGATTTAAGACTTTTGGGATGATGTGATGGGGTGGATATGTTTTGCATGTGGTAAGAACATAAATTTTCGGAGACTAAAGGGTAGAATGTTATGGATTGAATTATCTCCCCCCAAAATATGTGTTGTAAATCCTAACCCCTGTAGTGTTAAGGAGCCCTGGTGGAGCAGTGGTTAAGTGCTCACCTGCTAATCAAAAGGTCAGCGGTTGGAACCCACTAGCCATGCCTCAAGAAAAAGATGTGGCAGTCTGCTCCCATAAAGATTTATGGCCTTGGGAACCCTGTGGGGCAGTTCTACTCTGTCCTATAGGGTCTCTATGAGTCAGAATCAACTTGACTGCAATGGGTAGTGGTTATAATCCCATTTGGGAATGGGTTTTCTTTGTTATGTTAATGAGACAGTATTAGTTTAGGGTGTATCTTAAATTAATCTCTTTTGAGATATAAAAGAGATTAAACAAGCAAGCAGGCAAGCAGAGATGGAAGAATAGAGATGCCAAGACACCTGAAGATCACCAAGGAGCAAAAACTCGAAAGAGACAAGGACTAACAACAAAAAGACAAATAACTCAATCATAAAATCGGCAAAGGACCTGAATAGACATTTTATCAAAGACAACATTCAAATGGACACCAAACACAGGAAAAGATGTTCAACATTAGCCATGTTGCCTTAGCCATCAGAGAGATGCAAATCAAAACCACAATGAGATACTATTTCACTACCACTAGGATGGCTAAGATAAAAACAGAAAATAACAAACACTGGTGAGGATGCAGGGAAATTAGAATCCTTATCCATTGCTGGTAGGAATGCAAAATGGTATAGCTGTTGTCGAAAACTGTGGCAGTTCCTAAAAAAACTAAAAAGAACCATAACCAAAAAAACCCAACCCACTGCCATAGAGTTGATTCAGACTCATAGTGAGAACTACAATATGATTCAGCAATTCCACTCCTAGGTATATACCCAAAAGACTTGGAAGCAGAGACTCAACAGAGACTTGTACACCAATGTTCATTGCAGCACTAATCACAATAGCCAAAAGGTGGAAACAACTTAAATGCTCATCAACAGATGAGTGGATAAGCAAAATGTGGTACATACATACATACAATGGAATACTACTCAGCTAGTAGGAGAAATGAAGCCTTGATACATGCTACAATATGGATGGAGCTTCAAGACATTATGCTGAGTGAAAGAGTCAACCATGAAAGTACAAATATTGTACGATCTCACTTATATAAAAAGACAAGAAAAGCCAAATGTATAGAGACCAAAATTTACTAGTGGTTACCAGGTATAGAAGGGAGGGAGGAGGAGAGACTAATAGGATGGAAAGACATGTAAATTAAGGGTAGGGTTGCATAGCCAAGTATTGTAGCTGGTGTCAAGAAGCTGTACATCTGTAAAAGGTTGTATTGGCAAAAGCTGTGTGGTAGATATATTTACGACAATGACAAAAAAAAAAAAAAAAAAAAACAGTAGCTGCTGAGGTTGCTTATGTACAACCAAACACCTTATGGGATTCTGTTCCTTGGTTTGGAGGTTTAGGGTCATAGTTTCATGGGACATCCCAGTTAACTGGCCTAATAATGTGAGTGCTTCTGTTCTACCTCCTAGTTCACTCCTTAGTGTCTGGGGTCTTAAAATCTTGCCAGCGGCCATCCAAGGCACAACAATTGGTCTCTCTATTCCCTTGGAGCAACAGAGGAAGGAGAGTCAGGAATAAGAGGATATGGAATGTGTGGCTAATTGTCTTCATGAACAACTGCCACCTTTGCCATGAGACCAGAAGAAGGGATGGTGCCCAGCTACTATTACTGAACATTCTGATCAAGGATTCTATAGAAAAATCCTGATCAAAAGTGGGAAAACGCATAACAGAATTTCAAATTCTCATGGAATCCAGTCTTTCTAGAGCCATGGAGACTGGATGAACCCCAGAAACTACTGCCCTGAGATGATCTTTAAACTTTAAACCAAAATTATCCCCTGAAGTCTTCTTAAAAGTAAATAATAATTTAGCTTAACTAGTAAAAAAAAGTCTGCCTTGAGCACTATGCTCTTTTAAGAACTATCTATAGGGGATCAAATTGACAATAGCTGTTCAAAAGATTAGACAGGAACCTTATGGGGCAGTGAGTTTATGTTACTGGGGGAGGAACAACTCAGAAAAGGAGGGTGAAAATGGTTGCACAACTCAAAGAATGTAATCAGTGTCACTGAATTGTACATGTAGAAATGGTTGAATTGGTATATGTTTTGCTGTGGATATTCTCAACAACAAAAACAACAAAAACAAAATAAATAAATAAACGTAATGAATGTGAACTTAGTTATACTTAAAAAAAAAAGAAAGAAAGAAACAAGGACCTTCTTCCAGGGTTGACAAAGAGAGAAAGCCTTCCCCTGGAGCTGGGGCCCTGATTCAGACTTCTAGCCTTCTAAACTGTGAGAAAATAAATTTCTGTTTGTTAAAGCCATCCACTTATCATATTTCTGTTATAGCAACACTAGATAACTAAAACATTTATTTATCATTTCTTTTTAATAGTTTGTTGTCTATCTCCCACTAGATCATAAACTTCATAAAGGCAAAGACCTTGCCTATTTTGCCAACTACTGTAGCCACAGCTTCTAAATGAGTGTCTGCTGCTCAGTAAACAATTGTTCAATGAGTGGAACTTGTTAATGCTTTCATAGGTATTTTAATTCATTCTAGAATTTAATAACCTATCATTATCATTTTATGGAATGTATATCATAGATCCCACACTTGGCTGCACATCAGAATCACCTGGTGCACAAATTTCAAAAATTACTGATTCCCACGGCCAACTCCAGACCTACAGAGTTGTCAACATTCCAGAGGTCATGCAGAAGGAAGGCTGAATTGTAAGCAGCAGTTACTGAATAAAACAAATGCTATTACCTGTGCCTTCTTTTAAGAATGAAGATGACCACAGCTTAGACTGTAGATTTGTTAATGTATCTTTATTTCCAGTACTCTTCAATGATACTCTGTTTTCATTATTCTTTAAAGAGACTTCCTTCCTAAATGTTAAAGCAGATGGTGAAAATAAAAATATTTCCCTAGGTCACAATTTTTTTTATGCTTTATATGGGTTCATAAACACATACACTTCATTCAACACACAAAACATATTTATATATAAACACATACCAACAATAAACTAGCTAAAATGCAGTATCTGCTTCATGGGGAGTATTAAAAATAATTTTTACCGACGATTAAAATTCTCTTTCTACCTGGCATTTGTCTTTATGTCAAGATTCTTAGTATCTTTTCAGAGTTCTTAACATAGAGCATAAAAGCAATCATTCGATGACTGTCTTTGGTATATTATTGTGATATGATGGAGTAAAAATAGTTAAGAAATACTAGCCTTGGGTTTTTTGTTGTTGTTGTTTTGTTTTGAAGTCTGTAGATCAATTCCTCTACCGCTAAATGCCACACTTATGGAGAGAGTCTAACACTAGTATTAACCCTTGGTCATAATATAAAATAGCCTGCTTTTTCTTTTAAGTAGCTGAAATAAAAACGGGCTAACTTCCCTTTTCAGCCTTTAAGCCTGAAACATCATGCCAATAAATAATACATTATGGCAAGGAATTCTTGTGTGGTGCACTCGGTCCACAAAGACAAGCACTCAGGCTTGCTGGAAAAAGAACCCTAAATCCATCTGTCGCGGTATCAAGAATCTTTTAACATGTCTCCTTTACCAGGTTTTAAAAAATTCAATTAGTCCAGGGGACTTCCAGGCAACATGGAGCTATAGTCAGAAGCACCACGCCATCCCTCCACAGCAAAGATCAGAAAAACTAAGTCAAACAGAGTCACACATCAATCCTGAAACCCTGAGTATCAAATGAAGAGATAAAGAACTCAGCCAAGCACCAAATGGAATAAGAAACTGACCGAGGACAAAGTGCGGAGACATACATGCAGCGGTCCCCCATCAGCTACTGCAGCACGGATCTGCCATCTTGGACTCCTATCGGAGATCAGCGAACGGGGTACGAGGAAGCAGTTTCACGGAGCTTCCAGCAGGAGACACAACAACTGGTAACCAGCAATATATGCTTTCCCATCCCCCACCCTTCTTCATCCCCACTCAGCCCCTTCTGCTTCCTGCAGCCAGTCTCTTGGCCCGGAAGCACAAGCTTCACTCCAGTGTCGCTTGGATTCCACCTGCCTGCACTGGCCGTTTCCCTGAATGCCATTTGTTGACTACTGGTGTTGCTTTTTTCTGCTTCTTTAGATTTCTTCCTTACCTCTCACCATCTTCTCCTCCTGTCTCTCAAATACCTGGCTCTGTGTGCATCTTTGCTTCTCCCTGAAAGGCTGCGAAACACTGCTCTACTGTGAAACTGCTTCCTGGCCCGTGCCACCATGCAGGTGCGATCCCCAGGGCTTTTTTTTTTTTTTTTGCTTGCTCTGATTTGTTCTGTTTTGATTTGTTTGTTTTCTTTTTCTTTTCTCAGCTTGGGAGCCCCTTCTAGCTGGGCAGTACCACGTAGCTTGCAAGCTACTCCCTTACTCTGTGCAGATGCACAGGGACATCCCTGGGGGTATTTCTTTTTTCTTGTTTTTTGGTTTTGTTTTTTGTTTGTTTCTTTATTTTGTTTTCTTCTCTGATTCTCTTTTTTGTCTTTCTTCATTTCCAGTTTCTCAGTTTATTCATTTTTTTCTTTTACCCTTTTTTTTTCATTTTTGTTTTTCCCCATTTCTCAGTCTCTCATCTCCCCACTCCAATAGCAAGCTCCCTTAGCACTCTTTTTTGTTTGTGTGTATGTTTTTTGGCTCCTGTTCCTCTCTCCTCTCCCATCTTTCCCATACCCATCTTAGCTCCATACATCACAATCTACCCCCTCCTTCCTGCCTACCTGCACCATGCGCTGAACATCACACTCCCAAGAAGCACAGGCATGGCCTCCTGGAACCTGCCCTGCACTGATTCTCAGTCGGCACTGTCAGCCCTGGTACGTGCCACAAACAACCCATCCCAGCAAGTCCCCTTCAGCTGGACCTGCACTTCTGTACCATACCTGAGTGACTGACCCTGCCCATTGGAGAAGGAGGTGAAAAGCATCGTGCCCACAGACAAGCAAACAACAAAGAACGCACAGCCCACCTGCTCAGACATAATCAAATAAAACAAAAAAGCAGGGTGAAACAAACAAATCTGCAATCAATAAACGAGGGAAATAACCACTGAATGCCCTGAAGACAGGAGACAAAACATTTACAAAAACAGGACAGGCTGGTTCCAACAGGCGTCCAAAATAAAACACCAGACGACTTTCCAGTAGAAGAAAAGGCCTTAGACCTAACTGATAGGGAATTCAAATCTCTAATATTCAGAATTATCCAAGAGTTGAAGCAAAAAGCAGACAAAAATGAGGAAAAAAATAGACAAATTCATGGAAAAGGCAGACAAATTCATGGAAAATACAGAAAAAAAAACGGAAGAATTCAAGAAAATAATACAGAAACAAAATGCTAAAATAAATTCACTACTAGAAATTATACAAAAACAACAATTAGAAATCCAAAAGATAATAAGATTTGAGAAATGGACAGTGTCACAGAAGGGCTGAGGAGCAGGTTTGAAATGATGCAAGACAGGATCAGTGAAACTGAAGACAAACACTTGGATACAACTCTGCTTGAGGAAAATCAGAAAAAAGAACAAAGAAAAATGAAGGAACCCTGAGAATTATGTGGTATACAATCAAAAGCAAAAATCTGCAAGTGATCGGAGTTCCAGAATGGGGAGAAAACAGAAAACACAGAGAGGATCATTGAAGAATAGCTGACAGAAAACTTCCCCAATATCACGAAAGATGAAAAGCTGGCCATCCACGAAGCTCAATGAACCCCATATAGGACAGACCCCAAAAGAAAATCACCAAGGCATAGCATAATCACACTCGCTAAAACCAAAGACAAACAAAGAATCCTGAGAGCAGCTCGAGAAAAAAGAAAAGTTACATACAGAGGAGAAACAATAAGACTAAGCTCGGACTATTCAGCAGAAACCATGCAGGCAAGAAGGCAATGGGATGACATATATAAAACCTTGAAAGAAAAAAACCACCAACTAAGAATAATATATCCTGCAAAACTCTCATTTGAATATGATGGTGAAATTAGGTCATTTCCAGATAAACAGAAATTAAGGGACTATGTAAAAACCAAACCAAACTTACAAGAATTATTAAAGGCAGTCCTTCCATCTGAGAACAAACAACTTCAGCTCACAGGCTGAATCTAGGATGCAGGATCATACCAGCCAGATACCAATCTAGGAAATGAACTCTCAAGGACTATCCAAAACCAAAAGAAATACAACAGGGAATCAAAGCAGTTAATCTGTAAATGACAGCAACATCAGAACAATAAAAGAGGGAATAAATGGTGTAGGTATAGAACCTTCTAATGGAGAGGAAGGCAAGGCGATACCAAGTAATAATAGACTGGTCCAAATCTAGGAAGATAAGGGTAAATTTCAAGGTAACCACAAAGAAAGTTAACAAACCTACACATCAAAATAAAGAAAAACATAAAGTCTCAGTAAAAGCAAAACCTACCAAAAAAAAAAAAAAATGAAAAACAAAAAAATCCACGAACAAAAGGAACTCAGCACAGGAGAGTAAGAGGAACAAAGAAAATGTCAGCACAAAAAAAAAAAAAAAAAAAAAAAAAAAAAAAAAAAAAAAGGCACTACAAAATGTAATCCCACTCTTAGGAATATATCCTAGAGAAATAAAAGTGGTCATACGAATAGACATAGGCACACCCATATTCACCACAGCACTGTTCACAATAGCAAAAAGATGGAAACAACCTAGATGCCCATCAACAGATGAATGGATAAACAAACTATGGTACATACACACAATGGAGTACTATGCAATGATAAAAAACAATGATGAATCTGTGAAGCATCTCATAACATGGATGAAACTGGAGGACATTATGCTGAGTGAAATAAGTCAATCACAAAAGGACAAATACTGTATGAGATCTCTCCTGTAAAAACTCACGTAAAAGTTTACACACAAAAAGAAACAATCTTGTTGGTTACAAGGGATGGGAGGAACGGGGGGAACTAAACAGACAACAGATAAGTCGTAACTTGGGTGAAGGGTAAGACAGTACACAATACTGGGGAAGCCAGCACAACTTGTACAAGGAAAGGTCATGGAAGCTCCATAGACACTTCCAAACTCCCTGAGGGACTGAATTGCTGGGCGGAGGGCTGTGGGGACTATGGTCTCGGGGAACATCTAGCTCAATTGGCATAACACAGTTTATAAAGACAGTGGTGCCCAGCTACCACTACCAACTGCTCTGATAGGGATCACAGTGGAGGGTCCTGGGCAGAGTGGGAGAATGGTCTGACAGATGCTGGAAGAACACCCAAGACTATGACCCCTGGGCACACTTTTAACTCAGAACCAAAGCCATTCCCAAAGTGTACCCTTCAGCCAAAGATCGGACAGGTCTAAAACAAAAATTTACACATGTGAGGATTGTGCTTCTTAGTTCAATCACGTATAAGAGACCAAAAGGGCAACATCTGTCCAAAAGCAATAACAAGAAGACAGGAAGGGACAGGAAAAATAGACGGATTGAAACAGGGAATTGAGGTGTGGAAAGGGAGAGTGTTGACACATTGTGGGGACTGCAACCAACGTCACAAAACAATTTGTGTATAAATTGTTCAGTGAGAAACTAATTTGCTCTGTAAAGTGTCACCTAAAGCACAATTAAAAAAAAAATTGGGTTTAATTCTAGCCCATTCCTACAACAAAGAAAACAACTCAAATTGTCCTGGAGCGGAAGAGGATCATCATGCTTTGCAAAGAACAATATATTATCAATTACTTTTTTTGAGAGTTTTGCATGTTATTTTATCACTTCAACAAAAGAAGAGTTTCCCTAAATTCCCCTTTAAGCTCCACAGAGTGTGAATATATTTCTCCCTTGCCCCCAAGTGGAAATATGGATAAACGAAATTGTAAATTAAAAAAAAAAAAAATTCGATTTCTAGTTTGCATAAAATGCAAACCAAACCCACGCCGTTGAGTCGATTCCAACTCACAGCAACCCCACAGGGTTTCCGAGGCTGTAAATCTCTATGGAAGCAGACTGCACATCTTTCTCCCACAGAGCCTTTGGTGGTTTCGAACCACCAACTTTTCGTGTTAGCAGTCAATTGTGTCACCAGGGCTCTAGTCTGCAGGAAAAAATATAAAAAGGTGTAAAGTATTTTTCCCCAAATTATGGTAGCTCCATTTATTTTTTTCCCATTGAGATGTGAATCCAGAACATTAGTAGTTCCATTAGTGGTCCTGTGCACTCATTTAGCAAATAGGCTGAACAGCTTGTTCAATAATACTATGGGAGGGAATGAGAATCTCCACACAGAGAGACAAACAGACACAAACACACACAAACACCACCCCCCCCCCCATATATGCTGCTAAAGCAAAACCCCTCTCTGGAAATGAAAAATGCACAGCAAAGATGATTTTCATTTTTTCTACCTCTGCCTTCCTCTCTTTTCCAATTGTGAAAAAAAAAAGAATCCAAGAAGAAACTGTTTTTGAGAAAAGTTCACAAATCACTTAAGTATTCAATTTCTAACCAAAAACCAAACCCACTGCCACTGAGTCAATTCTGACTCATAGCAATGCTGTATTTCCAGCATGCTAAATTTCCTTATGCCACAGGTTGCCATGAATGATTATCAGAATTCATAAGGTCTAACATCTGATCTAGATAAGAGTTTCAGAGGCTTTCTGCTCCCCAAATTACAGTATTTCTTTGAATCTAAGATTATCATCTATTTATTATAAGACATACCATTATTTTATGTACCACTAAAAAAGAAAAAACCGTGCCAAATAGCATGCCATCAATTGTAAGAGATGTTAAAATATGAAAAATACGTGTGCTTTAGAATCTATAAAATATGGCACTTACATACTCACTAAGCTATATCCTTAAGGAATGGAATTTGGCTAGTATGGTTCTGGTTATTTGAACAATTGGAAATACTTTTAGTAATTTCAGTGATACAAGCATTGAGAAAGCCAACATACTCAATGGCCTGAAGATATATGGAATGTTACTATTTGGAAGCAGTGAACACGCCAGAAAAATACCTAGAAGAGAACTGACCAAATCATCATTGTAATAGTAATATACGAATTCTCTTTTTGCCCATTTCCTGTAGTCTTTGGCATACATAGTTTCAGAGAATTGGAGGCCCAAAACTCAATCTCCTCTTCAATTATACTCTATTGACTTCCACTCGAGAAAGTGACAGCATTTACGATAACAATGCCTATGACCATTTAAGAAACACGGATAACTAGTATACTCTGAAAGATGTCCAACTTTAACTTACTTACAATTGTGGAAAGATTCAAATTTTTACTTTATGTAATAATATTATTTGGAAATGGAAGGTATTTAATTTAGTGCCTACTAAAGTTATAAAGGTTAGTCAGGTTAGGTATTCCACTGGAATATACTTAAGCTAGAGGGTAGATAACTTAAGTTTTAGGATTTTTCCTTAGCATATTAAAAGAAATTTATACCTTAAACTTAATTTTGAAAACGATTTCCATTTGTCAAATACGTGCCTAAAAACAAAATTAATTAAAACTTACTTTTCTGAGAATGTCTTAGCTACATTTAGAGAGACTTGTGTTGTTGAAGTATACAGTTTGCTTGCCAATCTTGGTCTGTATCCAAAGAAGCATTTACTTAAAATTAAAAATGGCAATAAAAAATAGCTAGTCATTCATTTTACAAAAGACGACAGAATACATGATTATGTAATTACAGGTTCAATTTTCCACCCTCAGTAAAAGTCGGATGCTGTAGGTTTGTTTGCTTCAGCCATTTACCCCCTTCACATCTTTAAGTATGCTTGAAAACTTGACCAAAAAACCAACATATCAAAGGTCCACACTCTATACAACACTGTCGACATTAAAGATATATTTTATTTCTTTTCCTGAAAACAGTTTTTTAATTAAATGCAGTTTGCTGATAGACCAGTCTTCCACACATGGGATCCACAGGGAAAAAATGTGGGCTTTGTGTGCACAGAAACTTGAAACTCCTGGCTTATGCAATCCACATTCTCCTTGCAGCCGAGACTGGCACCAAGAATCAGAAGAAAAAGTCTCCTAGTTTTGCCTATCCCAACCTAGATACAGCCTTTTGGCAAATCCCACTTGTCAGGCAGACTAGGGAGCCAGCAAGAGGGTGGGAGGATAGGATGAAAGCTACACTGAGAAAATACTTTGTGAAGTTTGCAGGTCAGTCACACTGTTCTCAAAGGAACACTAACCACCCCTGCTTCTCCCTCAAGCCAAACAACAACCCAACCCAACCAACCAAACCCAAATTCATCTTTGCAAGTGATTAAAGGGAATATGATCATTTTGCCCTCAAAAAAAAAAAAAAAAAACAGTAATGTGATAAGCAGATGCGATTATTAATGAGATAAAGAGAATAAGTTGTTATTCTCTTCTTTTATTTTGGCCCAAGTTGCATTTGATTTATCCCCGGGGTTTGACTATCTTGGGATGTGGATTATCCCTTGCTCCAGCTCTAACACTGTTTATCACAGTCTATGAATATTGGGACTCATGAACACAACAGTAATTTATTTTTGTTGATACCCTAATTATTACTATTCAAAGTTGTATCTCATATTTTCTTCAAAGACAACTAAAATTTTCTTAGATTTATTTATGTATGTTTACAGCCATGTAACAAGATGTATATAATTATATATAGATTTATCTATTTAAAGGGGTGGTTTTTTTCTGGTTGGCTATTAAATTTAATCTGAAATAAATATAGATCCTCTGTGATTGTTCTGCTACAAATCATTTTCTCTTTAATACAAAAATATGTATTTAGTATATAATTTATAACAAAAGCCAAGCTAAGCTCTTTATTTTTAGCTTATGTTGCAAAAGGTAGATTTATCCCAGCCAATGATATTCAGAATAAACCAAAATATTGGTTTGAACAGAATCCCACCAGAACAATACCTATCAACTGAATCACATGAACGTGCTTTCTTTAAATTTTATTTTGTTCTCTTCGTTGAGAATATACACAGCAAAATATACATCAATTCAATCATTTCTACATGTACAATTCAGTGACACTGATTATATTCTTCGAGCTGTGCAACCATTTTCACACTCCTTTTCTGAGCTGTTCCTCCCCTAGTAACATAAACTCACTGCCGCTAAGGTTCCTATCTAATCTTTTGAGTTGCTGTTGTCAATTTGATCCCCTATAGATAGTTCTTAAAAGAACACAATGCTCGGGAGTTCCGGCAAAATGGC